AATAATTTAATTTTTAACTTATATTAAAATGTAATATGTCCTAGTGTAATATGATACACAAATTATTTTGTTCAACAAATATTTTTTTACTAACTTAAAATATTATCTATTTTTTTTAATACTTTGGATATAATATTATTAAAATAACATTCAAAATTGAATTTTATTTTGAAAAATAAATAATCTGTCTAATAGACGGGTCCTAATATATATTAGAAAATATGATATTCAGTTAATATTGATTAATTTTTTTGTTAAAGTTATGATTTTCCAAATTTTAACATATGCAATATTTTTAGTTCATACGTGAAAACATAAAATTTAATCCACCTTTTTACGCAAACCCTTATCTAGTATAGTTATAAAGAAAAGAAAAATTACGTAAATTACTCTTTAATGGTTTTAAAAATAAAAAGTTACAAGGTTAGTAAAAAGGATTATTAAGCTACACAAAGTATACCCAAACATATATCACACATGCAAACAACGTATATGTTTCGTTAACTACATGAACTATTACCATCGCATAAAAATATGCATAAACAAGCATGAGTTATGTGTATAAAGTATTTTTGAAAGTTCTCGAAAATCACAAAACAAAAAAAAAAATTTAATATTCTTTTTCCAAAGGCAATTACAAATATTCATTCATTATTACATATGGATTTTACATATAGTATTCATCCACAAACAAAAAACAGTAAAAGATTAAAATGTTGTCATATGAATGAAATTGATTAACGATGCATATGAAGAGAAATTTTAAAATGCAAAAAATTGAAGAAATAAATTAAATATGCTAAGATGTGATGGAAAAAGATGAGAAAATCTCAAAAATAGCACTAATCTAAAATTTTCTTCCAAACTTAGCAGACACTCCCATATTTTCAAAAGTTAGCAACAAATTTCAAAATTAAATTGTCAAAATTAAATCTGTAAATCTAAACAACAAACCCTACCCCTTAAAAACTATACTCTAAATGTAAAATAGTCAACCCAAACATAAAAAAGATTCTAGAAAATTATTTAAAATATTATAATTATGTTAATTAGTGTTATTTTTAGAAATTTGTGGAGTGTGTGCTATAATTGTCCGGAAAACATATTTTGGTGCTATTTGAAGGTATTTCTCAAAAAATAAGTTATAGATAATAAGCATACACAATTTGAAAATTACCTACCAAAAACATATCTCACTAATTTTTAGAAACAAATATTTTTACAAAAGCTATTTATTTACTAATTTCAAAAGCATTAGTAAAATTAAGACATTTTTATAAGAGAACCAGTATTAACCAAGTAAAAAAAAAAGCAAACCACACTTTGATAACCAAAACCAAAAAGCTAAATACTAACAGAACTAAAACCTAACGAGAAAGGAATATTCTCGAGAGACGACTACGCACACACATCTCTAATACTCTGTTTTAAATTATACTCGCCACCGCTTATGTATCCTTCTCTCTCGCTCTCGCTTTGCTCTTTCGAAAAATTTCGCAAAAGCTTCACTCGTAAAAAGATAAAGTTGGGTTTTCAAAGTTAGTCATTAACAAGATCGTGAGACGTGTTAATTGAATTGATAATTAGTGGTAAAAATTATAAATTAGTTTTCAAAAAAAAAATATTTTCAAAATAGAAAGAAGAAATAAAATTCAGGAAATTTAACAAATATTTAGTAGTAATCCTAAAGGAAAAAGATAGTAATAATAAAATAAAATTATTAATAAAATAAGAAAAATTAGGTCTAAAGACTAAAAATTAACAAATAAAGAAAAATACAATAAGTTAGCCAACTATAAGTTAATCGTAAAAAATATTTGCATTATTCTGAATATTATGTAATATTTAAATATTTTCATTCAGTTAGTTAAACTAAATAATTTAGTCATTAACATGATATGTGTCAATTGTACCGATAAGATACTGACATATGTAAATTTAAGATATATGAAAATATTTTAAAATTAATTTTATAAACCTATCATAAAAAATCTACATACGTAATACATATAAAAGAATACCTAATTATAATGAATTTTTATTAATGTTAATTCAAAAATTCTTAATATTTAAAAATTTGTATTCAGAGTTACTAACTCACGTGATTGTGATATATGTCAAGTAAAACATTAGATGTTGGAATGTGACACATCTGATTTTGTAAAAAATTAGATAAAAATAAAAATTGCAAAAATTAAATTAAATTATTAACCTAATTTTTGGTTATGTCTGTTTGGCGTATCAACGAGATTAGGATTTAATATTTACAATTAAACGAGATTATATGTCGATTTTAGTTTATAAAGGAGGATTAAAGTTTAGTTTTTTTAACTAAACATGTTATATGGTTACCTTGATTTATAAATGAGGATTATGGTTTAGATTTTACAAAAACAAGGTTTGTCTATTTAGGTTTATAAATTAGGAGTAGAATTTATATTACACAATTTATACAACGTTATTCATTTGTTTCAATTTATAAAACAGAATTAAGATTTAGATGGTAAAATTAAACGAGATTATGGGTTAAACAAAATAAATGTGTTTATTAAATGTATTTTTAATATGTTATAATTGTTTAATTTTATTTTTATATTTAAATGTAATATGTCATAGTGCAATCTCATTGGCTAAAACAAGAGGGGTGAATAAAAAAGAACTAAAAAAGAGACATTATTAATTTAAAATAAGGATAGACAAAGTAAAATAATTTGTACTATAATGATTTCTAAATTGTTTTTTTTCTTCAAATATGTAATGCTTATCTCAACGATACTATTTAACGATACTATAAGTCATTATTTTGGATTGATGTTAATTTGTAAGAACTTTACCATCAAATTTTGTAATAATTAATTAAGTTCAAAAATACAATAAATTGCGAAGTAAAAAAGAATGCGAAAATAATTTTTTTTGGAATTTTATGAAATAACATTTTTTAGGATAACTAGGTTGTGAACCCACGCGTAGCGTGGGTTTATTTGATATATTTTGGTAAAATTATATTTAATTGATGATAGTTATACAATTTTTATACAGGATAGTTAGATTTCTATTAAGGCATAAAAATTCATTTCAAATGCAACATTTAAAAAAATTATAAAATCAATTTTGTAAAAGAATCAAATAAGATCAAAAGAATCATGAATCAATTTTGTTTTTTATATTTAATTGGGCTCAAACACCTATGTCTTCTTATTTTTCCTCACATTCATTGTTTTCAAAATTTTCATATATATAAGGGCGAAAATAGTTTATGTCCACACAAATCACTTAAACTACGTATCTATCAAGTCGTTGGTGAGCAAGAGAGGATGTTGGGGTGGGAACTACTGTTGATCACAATATTGAGGGTTTGGTGCATTTCCTTGTACTTTTAGGTTTTCTTTCTTAGGCGTTTTTCGGGTTACTAATGGTTTACTTAAACAGAAATAAATCATGTTGTTTCCTTTTATATAAGATTTAAAACTGTCACCAGTGTTTATCCTCACCACCTCACATGCATAATGGTGCTCTTGGTTGTCTTTGATCTTTGCATATATTTCATTGTCTCAATAGTTTGAGACCTATAAGGAACGATAAACATGAGCACCATAAAGGTTAATCATAGCTTCATAATTTTATCTGACAGTTCCACAACACATATTTCTTCATAGTAATACTTAATAAGTTGATATAGGTCAACATGGACTTATATATAAACTCTACATCTAGAATGGAAAAGGGCCTAGTTTCAACATCAATGGCACGAAGCATGTCTTCTTTATGCTTTCTTTCACTGATATCTTTAATTTCTGCAACTAAACTTGTATTTGGGCCATAACAACCATTTATACTTATGCAATTTTGCACTTAAATGATACACGACATTCTCTTCGTTTCATCATTTTTCTATAAACAATCACGACGCCTTTTTACTACACACGTTCCATATAGAGAAAAATATGGAATTAGCTGGAATTAGCTTCAGAAATGATGTTTAAGAAAACATAAATTAGGTTCAAAATGCAAAAAGAAAATGGAGTTATACTCCTCCAAAAAAACATACACTTTATGCTTAAATGTTTGGGATCATGCTGTTTGACATAGAAACTATTATGATCTAGTGATTCTTAGCATATACTCCAGCTAATACTTGGTGTAAAGGAGCAGTACATGAAGCATCAAATGCATGCTCTTTCTAAGAGACAGGAATGTAAATAGGGAAAATGTTATTAAAATCCTAAACTTTCAAATTTTGGCCATTTTAATTCTCGATTTCCACTGTGGCCATTAAAATCATAGACTTCTCGTTAACATTATTTTTAAATCACTATTTTCTGTTGTCTGAGCTAGATTGAGCATGTCGTCAAATCAAATTTTCTAACAGAGGAGTTAACAGCCGTTTAGGATCGTTAATCAATATTTGTTAAGTCGAAAAATTAGAATCACAAGGACAACAACGTCGATTTGAGGGTTTAGGCATATCGTTTAAAGCAGCACGACGTCGTTTGTCTTTATGATTCTTATTTTTCGACTTAACAGAGATCAACTAACGATCCTAAATGGTTGTTAACTCCTTTGTTAGAGGATTTGATTTGACGACATATTTATAGTGATTAAAAAATAACGTCAACAAGAAGTCTATAATTTTAATGGCCATAGTGGGAGTGGGAGTCGAAGATTAAAATTGCCAAAATTTATAAGTTCGAGATTTAAATAACATTTTTCTCAATTAAATATATTGAAACAAATTTTAACCTGTGTTTTTACGAAATTTTTTATCTAAGTTTTATTTTATATAAAAGATGCTGTGAAACAGAAATATAAACATAGTACGTAAGAAAACAAATGTAATTGTTCATTGGTAGAAGAGTTGGAAACATTTAAAATTTGAAAAAACATGCAGATGACCTCTACGTAGCCTCATTTTATACTCAACAAGAACCTCAAAATTGGAATATGACTAATGATAATAAGCAAATGAAGAACCAAAACCAATCAGCCAATCAAAGATTCGATTAAGCCACAAAAATAAAAACTATAAGTAATTAAGTAAGAACATTACACATACATCTTTTTTTCAAAAGAAAGGTCACAGTACCAAAAAAAACACACACAAGTAAGATAAGATAATCATAAAAAGATATTATAATATAACATCAAGATTCATATCATTATTAGTAACTCTACTTAATGATTAGTTGTTGTTGTGGTTTGGTGTGTTAGCGGATGAGCAAAATGTCCCAACTCTTTAGCTTTCTCCGATATCCTCATCCTCGCGTAATCCACTTTATCCGCTCCCATCGGGTGTTTTCCGGTAACATACCTATAGATCCACGTCAAAGCCGTCGCTGCAGCCACCCCACAACCACCAGAGAAAAAGAATCCCGCAGTTAAAAGAACCAACGTTATCATCGCCGGAACCAACACCGGGCTGAATAATACCATCAACGGTGTCGCCACGATCAAACCGATCACCGTTCCGGTTAATGTTAGTCCTGAGAGTACAAGGAGTGAGAGACCTATCGTAGCTGCTGTTAGGAACCTCACTACTTGCCTTGTCGATGGTGCTGACTCGTGGAGGTTACGTAACATTGGTTGTTGTTGTTGGTGATGACGTTGTTGATGATTATGATCAGCCATTTTCTTGTTTTCTTTTGTTCTATCTGCTTTTTTTTTTTGCTGAAGAGATTATGAATTGTAGTGTTGTGTTTTGTGTTTTTGTATATTTGTGATTTGTGTGGTGTAACGAGTTATAAGGGAGAAGCGAGACAAGACACTTGTCGGACGATGAGGTAATAGAGAAGAGTGTTACGCGGGCGTGTCAGGTTTGCATGGAGTTGGTTTGGTGAGGTAGTGACACGTGCATGCTTAGTTTCGAATTAGATCTCATTGTCATTGGTGGTGAAGCTTATTGGGCTACCCATCATTTGGGCTTGTTTGTGATTGTATTATCATTGTGAAGTTGGAATAGTTTCTTCATATAATTAAATATTTGACCCAAAATCATATAATTGAAGTAAAGTGTTTTACTCTCTTTCTATTTTATATTGGCGCTTTAAAAAAAAAAATGTATATATTTAAGTAAATAATAAATTAGAATTATATCTTCCATAATTAAATATTTTTTAAATGTAATTTTAGTCACTTTCATCCGATAATTATTAATTTTTTTCTTCTCTAATCATCTTATTCTCTTCCACTAGATCTCTAATCTTAAATATATTTCCTTTGTTTTGTTACTGTTATTGTATGGATTAAAAGAAATCAAATTAAATGAGCTTAGTTCTAAAGTTTAGGTTTGTGATATAATTTAAAATTTAAAATTTATTTTCACTCAGTTTCTTATTTTATATTATCATATTATAAGTTATAAGTAACAATTCTCGCTCTCATCTTCGTCCACTATATTCATGTTAATCTTAAATATTTTTATGTTTTTTATATGAGTTGAAAATCAATTAAAACATCATTGTAACAATTTGGTTATAGTTTTATTATATAAAGTATGATACATATATATAAAAATTCTATTTTTTTAACTCTAGAGGCGTACTAAAATATACATATCTCTTTTTTATTTTTATATTTAAATTAAATCTCATATGTAAAACAAAATTTTTGATGGTTATACAAAAGATTTCAGGTGTATAAGTGGAGATTTAAAAATATCAATTACATTACAATCATTGCAAAACAGAAAACGAGTTGAAAAATCTATCTCCATTGCCTACTTTGGATGTTTGTTTATGTTCTCCATATTCTTATATCATTTTTAATCACATAATTAATTATTGTAATTTATTTATCAGATAATTTTTCTTTATTCATTTTTTCATAGTTGTATCATTATACTTTTTTTTGATCCAATAGAGAATTATGTAAAAGTAGAGTTATGTTATTTTTCTTACATCTTTCTTGTCTCTATATATTTTCTTTGAAATTCTTTTTTCATATTTGTATCATTACATATTTTTATCAAATAGAATTATGTGAAGATCGATATCATGTTTATTTTATTTAAGATTTGAGGTTTACGTGCTTTTTGAAAACAAAAGAACTAATTAACAAAAATTGGTCTTTGAAATTAAATATATATATATATATTATTAAAATTTAATTTATTTATAACATAGATTAAGATATGGAAATTAAATTCTTGTTCTTTTCATTTTTCTGTTAAAAATTCAATGATATTTAATTTGACTAATTCAATAAAATTATATCAAATATATACACATCTATCAATGTTATTATAGTTACTAGAATAATTTAAATAATCAACATGAACTGATTAAAATTAAGCAAAATATAAGAAAATATAAGCAAAACATAAGCTAAATATGAGAAAAACAAAAAAAAGTACATATTCAATAATTACTAAGTTTAAGAAGATGTGTGTAAATTTTTACATATGTGTAACGTCTATAAATAAATTTGAAATTTAAGTGTCAAGTTTATTGAAAAAAAATTGAATTTTTTTTTCATGAAGGTTTCCATTCCCATTCCAGTAGTAAGAAAAGATAAAATTCGTTACTGTTTTAGGTATTTACTAAAAGGGTTTTTTCTAGATTCATATCTGAAAGAGTTTGACAATACGTTCGCGATACGTCCCAGGTTTTTTTTTTCACGTATCGAAACCTTTCAAATAAGATAATTCAAACTACCATTCAAATACATGGTAGGAAAGTAAATCAGTGTTTTTTCTTGTTAAGAAAAAGGAAGTAAACAAGTAGACAAAAAATTTTCATTAATTCGTATAGGCAAAGTTAACTAAAGTTTCTTTTGTTAATTTTACATGGCCGTTTTTTTTCATCCAACCACATTCACCATAGTCACTAAGAAAGTCAAGAAGTTTATCAGCGACATGAAGACTATAATTACCATTGATCTTCTGACTTTAAACAGACATTTCTATAACAGTGTGTTGATCTAGTATGTTCAAACATCATTTGGGAGGCATTAAGGAGTGTGCATATGTTCGAAAGATGTGCATTGATCCCCTATCAGAGTTTTCTTATGTTGACTTCAGTTTAGTGGAAATGTTGTCTAATTTTGTTTGCTTGAAATTCAGTTGGATTTTAGTTAGGTTTAATAAGAAAACAAAAAGTCTAGGAAACCACAAAACCACACTTAGATCCCAAAAAAGTGTTTTGAAGTAATAAAACAATAATAAATTCATGATGAATTGATTAAAATGTCTATTCTGAATAAAAAAATGAAATTTGTAAATCAAACCTCATATATTTGGTTTTAGTTAGATATAAATTTCATATTTTAAACATGATAAAAACATATTCTGAAATTATTTTGGATTAACCCATTCAAATTTTAAACTAAAATAATTAATAATGTATGCGTAAAAATTTATTTAAAATATGTATTTTATATAATTTACGAAAAATGAGTTTTGCTGAAAAAAACTATAGTTACGAAATTGTAATAAAACCTGAAATTTACTTTTTTAAAATTTTTATTGATATCATTTTTATGTTGATTTAGTCAGCCTGCGAAACAATGGGCTTAATATATGGGCCTATAGAGAGACAAATTTTGAAAACAAAACTTACGATGCAGATATATTAACACGTGGCAGTATCTGGATTCGACCGTTGCTGCGTTTCCTGGTTAACGTTTTGTATTGTCTCCTCTCTTTTTAAATTTCTCCATTGGATCCAAATCTCATTCGCTCTCTCTCTCTCTTCTCTCTTCTCTCTTTCTTCTTCGTTCTCTCTCGCTATCTTGGCTCAATCGATCTCTTTCCAATGGGGATCTCTACAGAGACGCACCAAAACGTAAGAATTCGAATCTCATGATTCCCTTTTTAGGTTCTTATTTGCCGAATTTGTTTCAATTTTAGGGTTTTTTTGATCATTATCTATCTCTCGTGTTACTTCCTTGTTCGTTTTTTTTTGGGATTATCGATTGGGTTGCTTGATTTAATGAAATAATCTTGTTTCCGTTTAAATTCGATCTTCTCTGTTTGATTTTGAGAAATAATTGTTTGGAGAGATTTTGAAGATTTCGTGTAATTTCACTATCTGGTTGTTGGATTTAGCGAGATTTATTGACAAATCCGAGGATTAGGGTTTAGAGATTTCAGATTTCTGATTTTATCGACATTTCCTGATAATAATTGGATTCAAAGGATAGATCTTTGTTTCTGGGAAATTTCAATTTTAGATTAGCAAAAGAATTGGATTGTGAAAACTTGGTTCAAATTTTGGAGATGTGATTCAAGATAGATTGGTTTCTTTGCATTGATTAAATATTGTCTTGGTTAAGCATTTCTGAGAGTTGATTGGATTGTTATCTTTGTGGGATTGTGTCAGGCGGCGTTAGAGGCTGCACAAAAGAGATGGACTACAAGCGATTTCGACGTTGGGAAGCCTCTTGGTAGAGGAAAGTTTGGCCATGTTTATCTAGCAAGAGAGAAGCGGGTTAGTGTTCAGACAAATTTTTGTTTTTGAGTTATTTTACAACAGATTTGTTTGGAGATGTTGTGATTTTGATTGTCTTTTCTTATATGCACATTTTTGAAACAGAGCAATCACATTGTGGCTTTAAAGGTTCTTTTCAAGACGCAGCTTCAACAATCTCAAGTTGAGCACCAGCTTCGAAGAGAAGTTGAGATTCAGTCACATCTTCGGCATCCTAATATTCTAAGGCTCTATGGTTACTTCTATGATCAGGTGTTGTATTTTTTTTTTTTGTGTTTTTAAGAACCTTCTTGTTGACATTTACAATGTTTGTCTTTGTGATAATAACAGTTTTTGGAATACCTTTATTTGCAGAAAAGAGTGTATTTGATTTTAGAGTATGCAGCTAGAGGTGAGCTTTATAAAGAGCTACAAAAATGCAAGTACTTCAGCGAACGTCGAGCAGCAACTGTGAGTCCTAGTGTTATTGACCTTACCCTTGCCTCTGAATCTGAATCTCTCTGTTGTCTTTTTTTGTTTACACTTCTTGTAGACTAGTAAGAGCTCAAATCCTTTAATTTTGTTGTGGCAGTATGTTGCATCATTGGCAAGAGCGCTCATCTATTGCCATGGAAAGCACGTAATACACAGAGATATAAAGCCAGAGAATCTATTGATTGGTGCTCAGGTAACAAAACGTAGCTGCTTCTCATTTTCCATCAATGCCATGTGATTGAAGTTAGCTTAAATATTAATGTATTCATCGATATATATTATCAGGGTGAGCTAAAGATTGCAGATTTTGGATGGTCTGTGCACACATTCAACCGTAGAAGGACCATGTGTGGCACTCTGGATTACCTTCCACCTGAGATGGGTAAGTAAAACCTCTCCACTGTGTTTTTTTTTTTATATCAGAGACTTCTGCTCCCAGCTAATTGACTTTCTCTGCTTTTGGATCTTCAGTGGAAAGTGTAGAACACGATGCAAGTGTCGATATATGGAGCCTAGGAATTCTCTGCTATGAATTTCTTTATGGTGTTCCTCCTTTTGAGGCCAGGGAGCATTCAGAGACATACAAAAGGTAAACTGTTCGTGAAGCTTAGGATAGGATTAGTATGATGCTGTGGTTATTTACACTAAAGAAATGAAAAAAAATTTCTTTTTCTACAATGATGCAGGATTGTCCAAGTGGATCTCAAGTTCCCTCCCAAACCTATTGTGTCTTCACATGCAAAAGACCTGATTAGCCAGGTTCATACTCTCATACCTTATAAACTCTCTTAAGCTTTTCTGCATTTGAAGAGTGAATCTCTGATTTTTTCGCATTTACTGATTCATACAGATGCTGGTTAAGGAGTCTAGTAAACGGTTGGCCTTGCACAAGCTTCTTGAGCACCCATGGATTGTGCAAAACGCAGATCCGTCAGCCCTATACAGAGGTTGAAGACTTCATGCTCTTCCATGCAGATTAGAAAAGACTGCATTCTTGGCACCAATTACTAAAAAAGAATCTGACAAATTCATAGTCTATATAGAATCTAGCTGTGTTGCATAGTATTTGTACTGTATTCTTCGACAAAGTTTCTATAGCAACAAGATTCGTGTAACTTGACACCAATTAGTTTCGAATCTTATATCACTTTCAAAGAAATATTTTGAAGTTACACAAGCTTTTGTGCATTGGTCGGGGCACTAATCTTAGTTTTAGAACTTATTCTTTAATTGATTGGATTACACCGTGTATAATTAAGGAACTTGGACAGAACAACAAGAGGCGCTCTGCAATAAATCATTTTCCTTTAAAAGGTGGGTGATTGAGACAAGAATGAACATTTTCATCTATAAGAGTATAAGACAATGAAGAAGAATAATGCCTACTTAACCTCAAAAATCTAATTTTGTGTATCTTGTAAGTAAATATGGTGGTGAAGTCTCAGAAGGCGTAGCGGTAGATGGCATCCGCAACACCGTCTTCGTCATTGCTCACACCAATCACATCAGCCACAGCCTTTGTCTTTTCTGCACCATTGCTCATAGCAACTCCCCATGAGGCCAGTTCCAGCATCTCTATGTCATTTTCTCCATCTCCAATCGCCATTATCTGTTACAGAAAAATCCGGTTTTTGCTTCATCAATTATCTAAGCTTTGAACAAATATGTCTAGTAAAGGAGTCTAGGAAGCTTGAGTTGAGGATGTGGATATTCAATTTTTATTTGTCTTGACCACTATACCGTACTTGATTTTCTACAGATGTTAATAAAATATGCTAGATCATACCTCATCCGGTGAAACACCCAAATGATTGAGTAACATTTTTACACCATTCCCTTTGGAGGTTCCTGGTGGGACGATTTCTAGCATGTCTGATTGAGCTTGAACAACATTAGCACGGTCTCCTGTAGCTTCTGACCAATACGGACGGATAACAGATGAGACGCCCTCGGTTGTGTCCATAAATATCACTTTCTTTGGATATACAAGAGAACCAAACATCAATACTCTGGCTTAGACAAATTTAAGAACGTAAAACCTAAGTTCTGACTCCGGGAATTACCTGAATGTCAGATTCAGCGATAAGTTGATCAACGGACGACATGATTTCAGCCTGTTACACAAAACATGTAGAGATTTATGCAAGAAGCTGATAAAAATCATAGCTATAAGGGGAGAGAGAGTAACAGTTTCATTAACCTACCTTTGGCTCGTTATAAATTGTGTGAAGAGAGTCGACAAGCGGGTGGTCAAACAATGTCAAGCAGCGATCCTGGCAGAAAGCAATGAGAGGAATTCGATGCTCCAAAGAATAAAGACACGTCTGCATATTACAAATCCAAATTAGTATGTATGAAATATAATTTCTAGAACCCAGTTATTCAAGCACGATGCACAGAGATAATAAGTTGAAGGCTATTGTAGCTCATGAACTAGTCTTTTGCTGCTTCACATAGTAGAGAACTATGATGCAAAGAGACTGGGATCCAGAATTATATGCATGTTGTAAACTAAGCCGAAGACGTGAGAATTAAGTCTGTGCTGGTAGTTGTAGTCTAAATCTAAATGGATATACCTCTCTGCAGACATCTCTGTCCAAGTTTCCTCTGTACACTTCTTTCCCCTGTCTACCATAGACAAGTAAACCCTGTAAATAAACGGATATTAGTGAGACTACATCGATATTGGTGAACCTCACTAGTTCTCTGATATTAGAGAAAGTAGGATACCTGAACAAAAACGCCTGGAGAGGACTCTGAGACAATGCCATCTGATCCAGTAAGATCAGCCGTCTTCAAGATTCTGATCGCACCTGGGCGGGACTGTGATAATAGATAAGTTTAGGAACAGATCCCATCTTTATAACATCTCAACGAAAGACAAATAACAGATAATAAGAGAAGAAATATTTGGACAGATAAAAGGACAGTCTAATCTTAAAGTCACTGTAAAACTACTGTCTTTTCACCTTCCCTGTAGCTATGACGACTTTAAGTCCCTTCCGCAAGGCTTCTTTTAAAGCATTTGCATTTGCCTCCGAAATCTGACTTTTACTGTTAAGCAGTGTGCCTAGTAGCGTTCACATCAAAATCCCATTAGAATGAATAGAAAACTGAAAGCAACAATTATACATTGTTCAATTAGTAACCATACCATCCATATCACAGAATAAATAGGAGAACTTTGGTTTGTACAATCTTAGGCCATCCCCTTCCTTCCTGTCTTTTAACAGTAGTCTGTAAGTTTATTTTAGAATAACAAGAAGATAGTATCCTTATTGAAGAGTGCTGCTAACAAGTAGACACAAGAATAATACCATCTAATTTCTCCGGCTGGGGTTTAACTGTTTTTTCAATGTCATATGCACTCTGAATGAGTCCTTTTCCTTTCCAGCCAAGGCTCTTTAGCAACAGCTCCTCCTCCTCCTCCATTTCTTTCTCAGCCTCATCGCTGATCTCATGATCAAAGCCTAGTAGGTGTAGCAACCCATGGATCTTAAAAAAAACATTAAGGTGTCAGCAAAAAGAAGCACAAGAAACTATTGTTTGATTAAAAACCTAGATTCATATAAAACTATTGTTTGATTAAAAACCAAGATTGGCTCCTGTCCTTATATCTTCCAGAATTATACTTCTAAGCACAAGAAAAATCTAAGGTACCTACACAAAACTCTTAGTAGTTCTTATTTACACGGTGAAAAATCCAAAAACACACCTAAGAAATTCCACATTTTACTTCTATGCTTTAGTTCAACAGTAAGTCCGTAACATATTTTTTCTAAGTCCTACCACTATTAACCTACCACAAGAATGCGTATCTCATCAAGAAGACTGTGCCCTCTCTCTGCAGCCTGCCTTGCAGCTGTCTCAACAGAAATGACGATATCTCCCATCATAAGCTACACAAAGAATGACCATACTAAGTATAACCATTTGGAACCACACTGTTAAAACCAGTAAGTTAATTAAAAAAAAAACTCTTACTACTGGAAGCTTCAGCTCAGGGACATGTTGTGACATGGAAAGCACATCAGTAGCATGATCTTCACCTCTCCACTCTTTATTAAGTTTACAAATGAAGTCATCATTGCAAAGCATGACCGATAAATCAACAGTTTCATACCCACCAAGATCTTCTATATCAGTCTCTCTCGTTTTATACTTGGAATCTTTCAAACCATTAAAAGCCAACTTCATTGCCATAGGTACATTGAGGCGAAGCATCTCCGCAATATTCTACATTGATTGAAATTTGATAAGGATCCAAAACAAACACAACTACTACAATGGAACTAATTGAACAAACCAAAGCTTATCATATTCAAACCTGAATCTCAATATCATCAGGAAGCTGTTCCTCGATACAGATACTAACACTAAGCTCCAATTCCTGTTTCTTCTTTGGAGCTCTTCTCCTCATCTTCCTATACTCTCTCCTCTCCGCAAAAACCCGACCTGCTGGCTTCGGAATCTTCGATTCTCCTCCGGTGGTGCGTAAAGCGTGGAATCTCCGACGGAACATCGAAGAAAACTCCGATGAAGAAGAAACATCGAGACGGTTTACAAGAGCAGTTCTCGGGGAAGAGAGTAAAGAGTTGGGCTGAAGGAGAAGGAGGGTGGCGCGTGGCATTTCACGCGCTCCTGCAGAGCAGAGACGGTTATAGCGGAGGATTGGGGAAACACGAGAGAGCATTGGAGAAGACGAAGGCGAAGGAAGAAGAAGGCGTTTCTGCAATTATGCTTTAAGGTTTGGTTGGGCGATACAAATTAAATCGAACCGAGATGATTCAAATACGAAACCGAAATTGGTTGGGCGATACAAATTAAATCGAACCGAGATGATTCAAATACGAAACCGAAATTGGTTGGGCGATACAAATTAAATCGAACCGAGATTATTCAAATCCGAAACTGTTATTGGTTGGGCGATACAAATTAAATCGAACCGAGATCATTCAAATCCAAACCGAAATTGGGCGATACAAATTAAATTTAACCGAAATCATTCAAATCCAAACCGAAATTGGGCGATACAAACTAAATCGAACCGAGATTATTTAAATTTAAACCGAGATTGTGCATTTTTTTATGAACCGTAGTGATATTTTTAGTGCAATTGGACCAAACCAGGTGGCTTATAATGGTTTAAACTATATGATGTCAAAACATACAAAACTTAGATTTCAAAAGTTTCTAACTCATGATATCGTGATACGCGTCAATTTTATCGAGTAGCGATTTTAACATGTGTCAAATAATTATTGATAATAAATTAGTTGTAATTTGTAAAGAACCAGAATATTTTCGAAATAGAAAAAAAAATTCAGAAAATTCAACAATTACTTATTAGTTGTTAAAAATGATTGTAAATATAAAAATATACTAGGTTCGGACCCGCGCTACAGCGCGGGGGAATGTTATCGGAATATTATTGTTTGATAATATAATACTATAATAAATTATAAAAAATTGGTAAACTTTTATCAAATAAACATATATATATAGTAATTGGTGTTTAAAAGGATAGTGAAAGTGTGTAGTGGGGATTGGGGAATGATATCTTTTTTTTTTGACACAAGTGGGGAATGATATCTCTATATTAGTAAAGGGAGAAAAATAAAACGATGATTTTCTAAAAAGATATGTTCATAAGTATATATAAGTCATAGCTATCCAAATAGTTAATATTACTATTAACTAATTTCAAATGTGAAGTAAAGTTCTTTTGAAATATTCAGATGGTTTTTTAAAATTATCTTATTGATCACTAAAAAAAACACAAAGACTTTTGCTGTTATATTAACTCTGAGTAAGTATGATACTGGTTCTCTAAAATTATAAAGTAGCGGGTATTAGCATCCACGTCCAATGAAATGGTCTAAGCTCTTAGAATCAATTGACAAAAAATACTCCCTCACAACATCACGTAATAACTATTATATAGAATATGTACATTAAAGAAAGATTCGTAAGCAAAGAGCTTAAGAAACGTTATATCAGATTGTAGCCTAGCATTGCTATCTCAGAGTTCCTTGCACCATCCATTGACCTCTGGTTGATGTTAGCAGACCCAATGATAATATACTCATCGTCAACTTCAAATGGGTCATCAAGTAAGTCATGCACAAACATTTATGTAAACTTCCCAAGTCTTTTTCTAATCAAAATATGA